GAGAGAGAGAGAGAGAGAGAGAGAGAGAGAGAGAGAGAGATTCTTTTAATATGCCCACTGCTGCCAACAATCCTGTGTATGTGTTCCCTTTTGAAAACATGCATAGGAGGGGAATAGGGGACATCAGATTAATATGTATATATGGTCATTTTAAAAAGTGTAAACCCTAACAATGCTATTTGCTCCCTTTTCATCTGTTAAACATATACAATTGAAAGCATTTTGTTACAGCTCCTCCATAGGTGCTGTTGATCTGATAGAAATCCAGTGAGCGCTAAATTTTATCTAGAGAGCTGACTAATGGTGCTTCCGATGCACTGAAACCCCAAGGAATCTTACCAACCCTACGCAGTTTGGAAATTAGAAGAGAGGGAGGTGTTCTGGGGTCCTAACACACTTTATAACCTTGAGTGACAAAGCTGCTCCTCTGCAGATACAGTTCATTAAGCATTGTCACTAGGGATGCGCCGATACCAGTTTTTCGGTATCGAGTACCGATATTTTGCTGTCGGTACTCGCTGGTACCGATGCTTCCGCTGGCATGGAGCCGGGTTCCCGGGCAAGCAGGAAGCGGGTAATGAAACGCCGCCTGGCTTCCTGATTTCCCGGGAAGCCGCCTCCATGTTTGGCCGGCTCGATGCTGATTGGCTGGGGAGCAGGTTTCCCGGCAAATCACCATGAAGCCGGTTTCCCGGGCAATCAGGAAGATTGTCACCCTAGGACAGGAAGTGTGCTACTCGCAAAAGCACCCGATGAAAATAAAGAACAGAAAAAAACGAATGCAATTGTCACATTTAAAGAGTAACTCCACTTTCAAAAGATGAGAATGAAACAGGCTTTACAAAATTAATATATAATGAATAATTGTTGCACAAAACATTTTGTAATTTAATGTTATTGAAAAATATGACCTCTCCATTTAAAACTGCAGTCGCTGTAATGTTCTAAATCTACCACAAAAATTCAATGCAATATGGCATCCTGGGGGGTGTTCTGTACACACTTGGTGTATGGAACACCCCCAGAAATGTCACTTTCTGCTTCTTTGATTGGCTGACTGATTTTCCCAGGAGTCTGCACTACGGTACAAGTAAACCTTTTGGCATCCCTTGCAATAGGAATTTCATTTTTGGTGAGATACTCACTAAGGGTTAATTACTAAAAAGGGATGCAGACACTGCAAATTTCCCTATTACAAAACAGGAAGCCCACCAGCTCATTATAAAGAACCCAGACCCTCCCATTCAGGGATCAGTTTGGAAAGGACATCCTGGAATAAACAGCTTTTCCTTCAGAGCAGAAACAGGTAGGAAACTGCAACTAAGTTGGTTCAAATCCTTGCAATGTACATTGATCACTCAGAGTGGATTGATTTTTTTCCCCCCAACAAAAGTAGAATTACTTTTTAAACCACCTCCCGTCCATTGGTCGTTCCTGAACGGCCGGACGGGAACCTTATAGGAGTGGGAGGGCGCTGTGCCTGGTGTGGCTGGGGCCGGCACGGCGTCACAGAAGATCAAAGGGAGTCAGTACACGATCTCCCTCTGATCTCCTCTCCGGTCCCCGAATACAGGAAGTGATGTATATTACATCACTTCCGCATTCAGTGTCACTCTCCGGCTACAGATGCCGGTGAGAAGCTGCTGAAGCAGATCTCTGCTTCATCAGCTTCTCTGGGGGTCCCTAGGTGACATTAGGGGTCATAGAGACCCCTGATGTCTCCATTAAGAGGACCTGTTATGTGAATTGGCTATCACATAGGGGTTTCTTAGCCCCCGATGTGATAGCAATAACGTTAAGTGCGATTATTTTCTGCGATTTTGCGGATGCGCACAATTTTAAGGCTTGACATGTTTGGTGTCTATTTACCCGACGTGACCCCGTCTTTTATATTTTACCAAAGAATTGGGGTGATAATAAATGTTTCATAACATTTCATAGGGAAACAGGTTTTTTTTTCAAAATTTAGGGTACTTTTTTGTTATATAGTAAAAAATAAAACCCCCAGTGGTGAATAAATACCACCAAAAGAAAGCTCTATCTGCCCCCCAAAAATTGTATAAAATTAATTTCAGTACAGTGTTACATGACGGAATAAACGCCAGTCAAAGTACCGCAGCGCTGAGTACTGACAAATGACCTGGCAGAAAGAGGGTATAAGTGATTAGGACTGGTAAGCTGCAATATACTACAAGTTTTGTTCTCGAGTTTAGATGCACAAGTCTAGAAATACCAAATGCAACACTCCGTGTACACTTCTTCTACGCGTACCTTCTCCGGATCCAAGGAATACTTCTCTGGTTCCCTCAGGGCTTTCTCGTGTTCCTCCATAGTAATACACACCTCGCTATTGCCCCGGCAGAAATCAAGGCACGGCCGGCAAGTTCCTCCATTAATTGCCGATCCCACAAAGAGGGGTTTACACTTTTCACAGTGTTCTCCCTGGAGGAGACAGAAGACGCCAAGATGGTGAAAACAGACCCAAGAGACCCTGCTCCTATGTGACACAAAACTGAACTATACCTCCCATCATGCACCGCTTTTACTGTGTACAACAGCTGGTGGTATACCTAACACAAAGGGCATCATTTACGAAAGTATGTAAAAGAGCACCTGTACCGCCCCCATAGTATTACAATCTGATTCTTTATTCTCTGGAGAAGAACTGAATTAAACGAAAATGCTGTTCCCAAATAAATGAGATCATATTTTAAAATCCCCAACTTTTTAATATGGGCAACCGTGTAATTTTTCATTTGCTACAGTTTTCTTAAAAACCATAAATTCGTCATAATGTTAAAAGCACATTCCTCATGTGTATCCCATACTATAAGATACATAAGGTACATACCATGGTGTTATTGTGGCACTCCTTGCACACATCTTCCTTTCCGAGCCCCTCACAGTCACTGTGCTTATTACAACGACAGGCCACCGAGCAATTCTCTCCCACGTAGCCAAAGTCACAGCGGCAGCTGTTCGGCTCCACGCAGGTTCCGTTCACGCAACCGTGTTCGCAGACAGGGTGGCACAGGCCTGTAATGCTGTAGAACAAAACAGAAGAAGAAAAGGGGACATCATATGTGGGTCAACTCCTGCTGCGTCATGGCGATATGCTAGATAAATCTACTGAAATTTCCAAAACACATAAAAAGAATCAAAGGAGTAATTTGCTATCATTGGTTAATTCCCCAGATCGTCCTACTGCATTATTTTGCCTTTTTTTGTGAGACTGGGTCTTTTACTTACGTGTGCAGGGTGTAGCCTTTCTTGCATGTGCACTTGAATCCATAAAGGAGGTCGCTGCAGTTTTGAGTCTCGTTGCAGTCGTGATGCTGATTCAGGCATTCATTTTCAGGTGGGCAGGACATGAAGGCCCAGTCGGACTCCCTAGAACTGCACAGTTCCCCCATACCTGAAACCAGAAAATTCAATTAGTAACTAAGTAAGCTCCTTGCATCAAAACATTATTACTTGGACATGCACAAAACTAACATTAAATGTACTATATGCATCGAAGTTTCTCCGTGGCCAGGGGCAGAGGCTTAGCAGTGCGGCTCTGAGCTGAATGGCAGAAGACCTGCTTGTTACTCCTACAGCGACATCCTCATAGATGGGAAACAGTCTTTGTGGTAGAGGAAGCTGTAGCCACCATTTCCAATATTGTTCGTACAGGTTTGTTTGTTGAGCCACCCTTTACTGATGCACTTTGGTAAGTGGTAAATTTCTTTTGCATACATTTTCAAATTTATGCAACAAAGACCTTTGTTTATTGTATGTCCCTTTGACACCTAACTGGGATGTTTTGTAATAAACTGCCCCCTCTACGTGCAGTTATAACCCATCTAAGCTCCAAGTATCGTACCTTGTGTGGGTCCACTGGGTCCTCCTTCCATGCATCTTCCCTCCCCATTTCCTTCTTTACGGGCACACCAGCCACAGCGGGGATGCTGGATGCAGGCAGCACAGTGGGTGTGCTGGGAGCAGGATGGAGAGCAGCTCTCTGCACCACTCAGGACTCTGCCGCAGGCTCCAGCGGCACAACGCATGGGCAGGAATGTGGGGCTCATACACTATATACAGAAAAGTTTTCATTTTTAAAACTCAAGAATGACAGAGGAAATCTGAATAGTTATCTTACAGATATGATGCTCACTATATCTTTGGAACAGCTTAAAAAAATTGAGAAGTACAGGACAATACTAATAATTGTTGCAGCAACAGTTCATAATGACAGTAATGACAGTTCTTGGTAACGGTGGTAAATAATTCAGCTTCTGGCCAAGTTTATGGTACCTGTTTCAGCGCGACGCTCCACACACATTGCTGCCAGCCGCCATCTGCTCCCTTAGAGCTAAGGCACTCATTGCATGTGCTGTGATTGTAGCAAGGGGTGGGACAGTGAAGAGGCGGTGAAGACTCCACAGGCATTGGAGAGACATTGAGCAAAGAGTGGCTGAAACACGTCCAATCGTATGTGGGCTGGACACTGAGGATCCGCCGGGTCTCCCCTACAAGTGAGAATAAAAGAGAGTGAAAAACACAGATAAAGAGCAGCAAAAAGAGACAGAAGAAGAGAGTGCGATAGGAATAAAGTGATATAGAGAGTGAGTAAAGGAAGTGTGAGCAGGAGATAAAAAGGATAGAAAGGGAACGAACAGGCTCATTATGCGTGAAGCATGTTACTGGGAGGAGCTCAGGTGGACTGCTGTTCATCGGATCAATCAATCAAACACAGATTGCGGTTTCCTACTCCGGAGTGCGGCTACTTTGCTTTTTGACAGCGATTGATTGTGGAGTGGAGGACGAAGCCCATGGGAGTCGGCACCCAGGGCTAAGTCTGTATGTGGGAATTTGTGTCTGCAGTGGAATACTGGAATTCTTGTAATGCATAACAATATTAAGACGACCGATACCTAATCTAAGCACTTGCAGGTTACTACTGAAGATCACGAGGTGCTAGTCTCCCTTACGTTTGACTATTGTAATGTCTAGTCTCACAAGCTGGAATTTCTTAGTATGCATTTCACCAAGCATATACTTTGGACAAAGGGAGAGAGGAAGGAGAGAGAGAGAGAGAATGAATGAACGAACGAATACATATAGAGGGTAATTCACAAAAGGGTGAAGAGTTTGGAGAAGGCAGGAGAAGCGAACAATCTAGGCCAAAATAGCTGATTTGGAAAAACTCCCCATTTCATCTCACTTTCCAGTTCAGCTATGCAAGGGGTAGCCAAACTCTGGCCCTCCAGCTACAAATCTTCCATGAGGCATTGCAAGATTCTCACAGCCAGACATGACTCCTGGAGAGAGATGCATCATGTGATTTGTAGTTCCACCACAGCTGGAGGGCCGGAGTTTGGCTACTCTGAGCTATGCTGTCCTACATTGTTCACTTCTCCTGCCTTGTCCAAACTCTTCACCCTTTTGTGAATAACCCTGATAAAGATAGAAAGAGATGCATGTCATGGAGAGAGAGAGAGAGAGAGAGAGAGAGAGAGAGAG